AAATACCTATGGGGCTTACGCCCCGTGCCTCGGGGTTTACGCCTCGCTGAGGCATATGTAAAACGCTTCGCCTTACGCCCATGCCTTTTAAAACACTGGTTTAACATAGTCTGTATGACTGATCTGTTGAACCCACTTTGTGTAAATGAAGATGATGAGATGGATTACTAAATAACATGGGCCGGGTTAAAACTAAGAATATTTGAAGAGTTTGAGAATGACAAAGATACATATGACCAGCATCACATTATTTCTGTTTGTCACAACTTTACAACAACAACAACAAACCCAATATAATCCCACAGGTGGGGTCTGGGGAGGTAGTGTGTGCGCGGGGAGGTAGTGTGTGCGCAGACCTTACCCCTACCTGGATAGGTAGAGAGGCTGTTTCCGATAGACCCTCAGCTCAAGAAAAGATGGCAATGAAGAAAAGGGAAGAAGAAGAAGAAGAAAGAGGGGCAAGAAAGAAAGAAGAGGGAGACAAAAAACAATAAGGAAAAATGGGAGAAAAAGTAGCATCAAATAATAACAATCAGGGAGCAACAATTTCCAGTAAAAGGGAGAAAAAGTAGCATCAAATAGTAACAATCAGGGAGCAACAATTTCCAGTAGCAGTTTTAAAAAAAAAAACAACGGACGTGATAGCTATGTACCAGATATACTAACAAACTAGAAGAATTTGTCACAACTTTGGCCATGTTAATTCTTTTGCTCCTGACATACTTACCAGTCCTACATTTTGATAAGAATTGATTTTCTGATTGAGCTGCAGGAGTGGAAGTTAAATACAAAACGATGATTCCTTGTTCTTTTCTTTCTCTTTAGATGCACATTTGACTTTCTTTGTCGGATATCACTGCTTTGTAGTAACTTTGAAATTTTGTACGTTGAGTACTGACAGGTTGTAGTGACCATCTGGTATCGTGCACCAGAGTTACTTCTTGGGGCAAAACACTACACAAGTGCAGTTGGTATGACCCTTTGTCTTTTGAGCTTCAATAATTGTCACTCTAAATAAGTAAACGTTTTTTCCTTTTCAACCAAGAAAAATATGTTTATGTAGATATGTGGGCTGTTGGCTGTATATTTGCCGAGCTTCTTACTCTAAAGCCACTATTTCAAGGGCAAGAAGTGAAAGGAACACCAAACCCGTTCCAGGTTAAATATTTTGTACTCTCAACATTGCGTTTATGCTTTTCCTTTTGGGGGTTCAATAGCATATCATTGATCTTTTTGCCGTGTAACTTTTTATTTTAATCATCTAATGAACAATGCTCGTAATGCAGCTTGACCAACTTGACAAGATATTTAAGGTTCTCGGTGAGGATTAGTTTTTGAATATTCTCTTTGTTCCTTTTACTTGTTTGAACACTGCACTTAAGTCATATGGTTGTCAGGTCATCCCACACCAGAAAAGTGGCCAACGCTGGTAAACCTTCCACATTGGCAATCTGACGTGCAGCGTATTCAAGGACATAAGTAGTAGGTTCATTCATACTGCTTTTAGTATTAAGGATTTCTTTTAGCAGTGAATTGTCTTGCCGTCCTTGCCTTGCAATTGGATTTATCATCTAAAAGTTTTATTGTTTCCCTTGCAGTGACAATCCTGCACTTTATAGTGTTTTGCACCTGCCTCCCAAAAGTCCTGCATATGACCTCCTTTCTAAGATGCTTGAGTATGTGCCCATTTCTTAGTTAATGCAGCATTTAGTTTGTAATGCTTTCAAATCCAATATACCTGCCAGATGATGGTATGCATGCTAAATTTCTGGGGTTTTAATCCTTGTCAGAGATGGCATGTTGTCACGACCCAAAATCCAACTAGTCGTGATGGCACCTAACCCAACCCGTTAGGTAAGCCAATTACCAACTATCCAATTTCAATAATAATTATTAAAGCAATTTAAGTGAATAAAGGTCTTAATCGTGTACAATCCCAAGAACTGGTAGTACAAATCATGAACTTCTAAGAAAAGAGTATACAAAGCGGAAATGAAATAAATACATAGTCTGTTTGAATAATACATAAACAAAGCTTTTATAACTCTAAGGCTACCCTGAACAAGAGGCAGCTACAACAGGAACGCAAGTACATTTTCAAGTCCCGCAACCATCGAGCACAACAACAACAACAGCCAACATCTGCACGCAATGTGCAGAAGTGTAGTATCAGTACAACCGACCCCATGTACTGAGTAAGTAACAAACCTAGCCGTAGGTTGAAAGTAGTGACGAGCTTCCACCAAGGTCGGGTCCATAATCAATAGTCCACAACAATCCATAATAACATAAAGCAAATAATACCAGAAATAACTCAGAGATAAAATGCTCATCCAAATCATGATTTAAAAAAAAAATGATAGTTCTTCCTTTCAAATACATCAGTGAAAACCCAAATCGTTTGCCGAAGTTGCCAAAAATATGAATAGTTTGAAAACAATAATTTCTCCCAAAATTTTTTCAATAATAAATAAGATATTTCATTTTCCTTCCGGATAACCCGTGTAAAACAAATGCATCACTATGCCTATCTGTAAAAATGTGTGAGAAATCATGAATGATGTGATGTTGTACAGCATGTGGAAAAATACATCTCTATGCCTGTATGTCATGTGTGCATGCCAATGCGATGCAATTCAGTGATAAAATCATAAACAGCCCCTCGGGCAGAACATCACTCATATACAGCCCTTTGATCACCAATCTAGCTTTTAGAATTTTGACGGGTAACCTTTCCCCATCAGCACCTACATTTACAATAAACAACCCACGACATTCAATTGTTATCTTACCCTATTTTAAAAAAATGATCTTCAAATTATCATTATCATGAAGAACCGTCATTTTCTCAATCATCGCTTGAAGCCAGCCCAGACGAGCCATTGCTTAGCTACAATCTTGTGTATTTTGACGGTGGAGAAATTTGTTTCAAAGGCATGATATGAGGGTGATAATTGGTGATACTTTAAGAAATTTAAAACATGATAATGATTGCGAGTAGTACTAGTACCTTTTACAAGAGCAATTGGGAGACCAAGTTCATCATATAGAGTATCCTACCGAAGCAGGGGATGGCGTTGGAGTAGGTAATGAGTCACTAGGTGGACTTTGGGTACTTGTATCATCAATAGAATCAGCAGGCAAATGGTTTGATCGAGACCGTCTAGAGTAAACCTGAAGTGGAGCTGAACTAGGGAGAGCTAGAGGCAGAAGAGTTCGATTGGAAAAATTATGACATGGCTTATTGATTTTCTGAATTTGATGAGAAGTGCGAGGATATCATGAAAAATGTTACATTTGCTAATACAAAGGACTTAATTTGTTTGTAATAGGATCATAGGATTGGTAACCTTTTTGAAGACGAGACTATTCCTAGGATTGGTAACCTTGGGTTGATGTTTATCTTTTCAAGGAGTTAGATCTTGAATAAAGCATGTTAAAATAAACACACAGGGAGGAAGAGGTCTCTTGATAGAGTAAAGTTTCTTGTGCTTCAAAATATCTGAAGGCATACGACTAATTAAATAGCAAGCAGTTATGACAATTCACCCTGAAAAACGAATAGGGACATGAGCATCAATAATTGATTTCAAGTTGTTTCATTTAAATGCATATTCTTCCCTTTAGCTACTCCATCTTGTTAGGAGTATGCAGACAAGATCATAAATGAAGAATGCCTTAGAGAAAGACATAAAAGTGGAGAAAGGTGTTGAGAAATATTCCCTTCATTATCGCCGACTAGTTCCTTGACAGATACACCAAATTGAGTATGAATTTCAACATAATTTTATTTCGGAGATACAAAACAATTCAAATTTATTCTTCATTAGAAATAACCAAATGCAACGAGAATGCTCATCGATTAAAGCAATGATGTACTTAAAGGCACCCCAAATGTCTGAGTGAATAATTTCAAACATAGTTGTAACCCCGTTTTGACCCTCTTTGGGAAAAAGGCATCTCTATGTTTACCTAGCTGACATAACTCACATTCTAAGGAAGACAAGTGCTCCTGTTTGAACATAGATTTTTTTTTCACTTTTTGTTTTCAAAAAGAATTTTGAAAACATTGTTTGTTCATGGATTTAGAAAATATTTTGAAAAATTTTCAAGTTCCAAAAATTGGTTTGGGCCACTTTGGGTGAAATCTTTTCTTCCACTCACAAAACGTCAACTTGTTTTCAAGCAAAATGCATGTCCAAACAGAAACTTCAACTTTCAAAAATTATTTTTTAACACAACTTAAAAAACTAATTTTTTCAAGTTTCAACCAAATCTATGTCCTACCGCCTACTTAGAAAGACTCAACACCATCTTCTATAATTTAAAAATACTTGGATGTCTCGAGTGATTATGAAGAAGATGAGAAGAAGCACTCAAAGTAAAAGCACCATGTGTTTTTGGGCTTAGATAAGTGATAAGTTTTGTGCCTCATGTTCTATTCCAATTGTCTATCCTATTCTTCGGTCCCGCACAAAAATAGAGTTAGCCAAGAAGGTTACAAAGCAACTTAGGTTCTTGGTCAATTTACTAATGGATATTTATATGGATGTTTTGGGGTAAAATGAATTAACATTAAAAGCAATGAAGGAGGAGGATAAGCCTTACCTATTCCTTTAATCATAGTTTTTGATCCATTAACTAATGTGACAAAGGAAAAGGTCAGAGGGGAATTAAGTGTATACAAATGATTCTTATTACCAGAAATGCGATTACGTGTGTCTTAAGGTGAAAACTGTGTGACATAAGCAAATGGATTACGTGATTAACTTGTGCAAGTAGTGGGGATTAAAACGACTGTTGTCTAGTTGTTTTGTACTGTAGAGAATTATCACAACTCCATTCAAAGAAGTAGAGTGAGGAATGCCATTACTACTGGCTTGCACTTTTACAAAGGAAGGAAACGAAGACAATATGATTCATTCATTTTTAAGAGGAACAAGAAAATTCTTGCTTGAGAATAAATTAGAACGAATAGAGATGAATGAAAAGTTTAGAAGAAATTGCACCACTTCAACTCAAAATAAAGAAATGAAAGAGAAGATATATTGAAGACTTAGGATTTATGTAAGCCAAGAGTTCAAAGGATTTTGATAGAGAAGATAGAGCAGGAAGACGTGCACAGCCGCCTGAAACGGTCACCAGTATAGTGGCTAGTGGAAAAGTCTCAGAATATTAGATGTCAAAAAAAGTGATGGAATAAACAGCAGAAAAAGCTGCCAGGATAGTCACCAAAGAAGGCTACTTGAGTCTCTACAAAAATCGTAGAGGCTCTGATACCATGTTAAAATAGTAGAAAATGAAAGAAGATTTAAAGAAGGAATTGATTGCTTGATTTGTTCTTTGAGCATCATCATAATTTGTAATGTTATAATTCAATTAAAGTTGTCCTTAACCACTTTAATTCTTATTAACCAATTCATACAAAGTCATACTCGAATCTTAACATTAATTTGTATCTACCCACCAAATCATACAAAATGTTACATAATCTTAACAGGTGCAATGGAATGTAAAGAGGCCTATCTGGAAGATTTAGCAGGATGTTCCAACTTTTTTTGATGTTTGTTGTTGAAAAATAATAACATACTGATGTTTTGAAGGGAGCTATTCTCCTATCCATACTCTGAAATATAGATGTCTCACTAACATTCTTTGTTGGAGCAAACATCACATTGTAAATAATGTTGTTCAGTTTTTTTTACTTTGTAAGCTCCTTACGAAGTTTATAATTTCAATGTCTACTGGATGTGATCTTAATGAAATTTCACTTTATTTGATCAAAAAGAATATATCTCTAATAAGACCTAAAAACCTCCTCGCAAACTAAATTTTGATCATAGCCTGGTATTTTACCTAAATGGATATTTTTTCTTCTATCTTGTCCTATTTCACCAAAGTGTGCATGGATTTTAAAAGATTGTAGGTCTTTCCAATAACTTTCTTCCATGCGATTTTAGGTCTACCTCGACACTTTTTAACACCTTAATCACCATTGTTTCATACCTATGCATAAGTGCTTTTGGAGATTGACACAGGACATGACAAACCATCAAGCCAACTTTTCGCAGTTTTTCTGTATGTGCTACTTGCACTTTTAGCTGGATATGATCATTTGTAATCTTGTCATTCTGTATGATCGCACATCCATCATAAAATTTGCATTCGTGAAATACTCATCATATTGATATGTTGGACCGTAGGGCCCAGCATTCACTCTCATAAAATATTGCTGGTCTTACAACCATTTTATAGAACTTGCCTTTATATTGGTAAGTGTCCTCTTATCCTATAACACTCTGGTAGCACTTCTCCATTTCAACCATCCTATTTTGCTTTTGTGTGAACATTTTTTCCTATCATACCATTCTTCTGGAACCCGAGCCTAAAATTTGAATTGTTTGTATGTAGGCACCGCCAATTTCATCTAATCTCACCGCAACTTCACTATACTTGTTCTTTCTTAAAAAGAAACAAACGAGGTTTTGAAGGAAATGTAGGTTCTTTATCTCAGTGAAATGTGCATGCCTATTCCTTTTATATATTTGGTGTAAAAATCTAATTGTAAATGATATAGGCCATATCATTGAGTATGTCAATATCCTACATAGCTAAATAAGGAAGCTCTTGTATTTGTGAATTCTTTCGGTCTTAGAGCACTTTCTTGGTGCTATACACAATAGATGTACCTTATTTTTCTTTTTAAAAAATCCTTACTAAATTATAATGCAAGCATTTGATTTTATGCCCCAGTGTTACTTTTGCAGTTTTTATTGACATGTTACTTATGTTTCAGAAGCTTCTATTAATTGAGATCATTGTTATATTTTGACGTCATCTAATTTGCAGATATGATCCTCGCAAAAGGATAACAGCAACGCAAGCTCTCGAGCATGAGTATGGACTCTTCATCTCACTCTCTCTCTCTCTCTCTCTCTCTCTCTCTCTCTCTCTCTCTCTCTTTGCATACTATTGCATTATTCGCTTACAAATGGTTTCAAATATGATGGCATATTTCATCGCAAAATAAGTTTGTAAAATGGTTCTCAAGTATTCACTAATTGATTGAATATGTCCCTGATCAAAATTATTAGACAGTTAACTACTCTTTTGTATTTTGTTGTCCCGTCCAAAATAACAGAGCTGACCATTTCGATGTCCTCCTATTTCCATCCCTTAAGCAGTGGGCTTTCTTTTACTAAACAATTATTGAGCGTTATTGGTCCGCATACTGTACCTATTCAATTTCGTTTACCATGTTATAGACGTTTTTCAGCTGATCTTCCAGCCAGGCGAGGCTTCTTGCCAGTAGCTTTTTTCCTTGAAGTAGTAAAGTTGATATAGTGTTTGGTCTAGTGAAGTTATGTGGGGTTATTCCTTTTTATGCCGAAACACTTATCATGGTTTTGGAAATTTCTTGACATGAAATAGAGGAACCCTATTATTTAGCATTCGTTTTTCTATTACCTATATGATCAACGCTAGTTCATAAAAAATGTTGAATGTCAAGCTGACACCTAAAGTAGGGAAGTGAAGGCCTCGGCTTTCTTCTGAATTGTTATGATATTGGGTGGGTGCTTGCCTTGTATTATTGTTAAAGCTTTTTTATTTTTTCTGGTTTATAGGTACTTTCGGATGGAACCTCTACCTGGCCGCAAGTAAGTGCTTGCCTTCCATAGTCTCTTGGTCAAACAATTGATTTAGAAAAGTTTCACTAAGCTGGTATAATTAAACCATGCTAGAACACCCAAATACTTTTAATGAAATTTGAGAGTTACAAGTTTTACCTTTTTATATCCATTTAGACATGCTGTGGAGCTGTAGCACTTGTTGATGCTTTATATTTCCTTCATTCTGGGGAGACTACCTTTATTAATCTAGTAACTTCCATTAACCCTCAAAACTGCTTAATTGTGACAGTGCACTTGTACCACCACAGCCTGGAGAAAAAATTGTGAACTATCCAACTCGACCTGTGGACACGACTACAGACTTTGAAGGAACAATTAGTCTTCAACCTTCTCAGCCTGTGAGTACAAAAATCTCTATGTCGACTGGGTTCATATCTCCATGAATGCTGGTTTATTTCTTTGGTGTTTATTTACTACTGATACTGATATAGTTCTAATTTCCTAATATATGAAATTTCAATAAAAAAGACTGCTTGTATAGGAGTAACTAGAGAAAGCTAATGAAATAAAATAATAATTAAAAAAAAACTAGAGAAAGCTAATCAATTGAAACTATGTCACATTTTCATACTATAGGACTAGGATGGGGCCATATTGGTCAGTTGCATCTTGCTCATATTACTATTTGTTGGAGCAGGTATCATCAGGAAATGCAGCATCTGGTGGCATGCAAGGTCCCCATGTAATGCCAAATAGAACTGTGCCCCGACCGATGCCAATGGTCAACATGCAAAGGATGCAACCTCAGGCCATGTCTGCTTATAATCTTGCTTCTCAAGCTGGCATGGGTGCTGGAATGAACCCGGGAAACATGCCCATGCAGCGTGGTGTTGCTGCCCAGGCACATCAGCAGCAGGTTGCTCTAGTCAGCCTGGTACTGTTATACTTTCGGTAGTTCCTATCCCTAAATTGATTGATGCTTTTTATATGTCAATCAGATGAGAAGGAAAGATCCAGGAATGGGAATGCCTGGATACCCTCCACAACAGAAATCTAGACGTTTCTGAAAGTCTTTTTCAGCGACAATCATACACGTACACAACTCTGGTATGTTCCGTTTTAGTTTGTCTTTGTTTTTCTTTCCCCACAAAAAGTAGAAAGTTGGTGTTTATCATTTTTGAAAAAGGAGTAGATAATTTTTCCGCCTGCCTGTTTTAGTGAACCTCTCCTCTTCGTTGCAAAACTAGCAGGCAAGTGGGAGTAGCTGCCTCCGTAAGGTTTTAATTTTGGGATTCTTTTGAAGACCTTTCATTCTTTTGAGTTTCATGTCATGTTTAGTTCAAAAGAAAAAGAAGTAAAGATGGCCCTGCATTTTGATTAAAGGGCTGTGTTGTAACCTTTCTCTTGTTTCATATTTAGGCAGATGGGTTCAGGAAGATTATGTTTCTTCAGTCTGACCATGGATGGGCAAGTTTTCCCACATTTATGAAGCAGAAGAGAGTCAATTGGCACAATTGTTATGTCAGGTTGCGGATGGGACTCTCTTATGGATCAGATATTGCTCCATATCAGCTTTCACTAACGACATCAGTGTTGGTCTGCTCTGCCATGGCCGCTGCTTAATCTATATGAACTGCATGCATAACCCGTCTATACATTTGTATATATGTATATGTGTACAACAACCAATTATCAATGTATCAGGCAAGTCATTTTATTGTCTTCTTCTAACCTGAATCATATGTAGCAGATAGTGTTGGGTAAAATATGAATAGTGTATAGCGTGTTTACGTAAGAACATGAATTTTCACATTTACAACTTTAGGGTCCAGTTTACAATTGAGCAATTATTTAGCAATCTGAAATGCTTTAACGGTTATGCATACTTTTAAGGGAAACACTCAATTGAAATTTCTGCAAATCAAACAGGTTCATTTAGGTTTGGGTTGTGATATGACATGAAGGAAAACATATACTAGTATATTCTTTAAGGTACGAGGAGAAAATGACAATGGTTCAAAACAAGAGTTAGTTTGTCAGTGAAAAATATTACTCAAATGGAAAATGATTTTTCTAGCAAGAAAATATTGATTAGTTACAAATAAACGTGTGCCGATGTCTTATTCTAAACTCGGTAAAAGTTATACTCACATACTTGCGCCATGTGGTTGTTAAGTCCATTATTGAGCTCCTAAATTTCGTGGACTAGAGTCCTCCTAGGTAATCAACAAGAATATTCCCCAAGTCAACAAGATCACTTTGATACCCCTCCGCCTTCACTTGCTTTGATGCTATTCCTTATTTGTCCGTTAAGAAAAAATAACATATTCTTATATTTTCTTAATAACAAGTTTTTATAACTACACAAATATTTATGACCGCAAATTTTAAAAGCTTTAGACACATAAATATTAGTATAAAATATTTTAGGTTACATATTTCAAAAGTCTTTATTTTTTTACTAAATTTTGTGCTAAGTCAAACATTGCCTTTCTACCTTTACTAGGTAGGTGTAAGATCTGCGTAATGTTGTTTGTTTGTTTGTTGTGCTAAGTCAAACTGTATCAATAGAAATAGCAATCAAATGGTCATTTTCATTAACATAATTCTTAAATAGTAAGCTAGCAGCCGACTGTTGTTGAATAAACAAGGCATTTTCTTGCGTGTGATCTAGTAGTCAATGAAATAGATTGGGAACCATGAGGTCTCAAATTTAAATTCAAGTAGATGCAAAAATACTAGATAATTTCTTCTCATATGTTCAAACTTTGGTGGACAGAGTTATCCGATACTTGTACTGATGAAAGATAGTAAATACCTCGTGAAATTTGTTGGAAATATTAATTGAGACGCGCGGAGGCTAGCTAGACACCACAATATTAAAAATATCCCTAAAAGTATTTCAATATGTATTCCATGAACACGTTTCACCGCATTGACTTGGCAAAGAGAGACCTTGATTTCACAGAAGAATACACAATTTAGGTAAATCACACACTTCATATTTTTGGAAATGCTTTGTTTATTTTCATTATACTTTTATAACTTGGGATATATTAAAAAACCATGTACTAGTTCAAGAACATAATTTCATGAGCAATATAGATCTACAATTATATAAAAGTCAAACTCTTCTTCTTTTTTCCCTTTCTTCTCGACCAAACAAAGGAATTGCATGAATTCCATTATAAGTGCGTTTGGGCATTGGCTAGACCCCGTGACCCTTGTAAAGACTCGACTTCCTTTATGACTTTATCACCGATATACTATAAAATTGGTCAGATGTCAAAACCTTAAATGCAAAGAATAAAAAAGAAAACACACATCTTAATTAACCTAAAGTCATAAAGAGTGACTTTTTATTAAATAAGTAATAAGATGAAATAAGGTATTGTGGACTTGTGGTTGTCTGGTTGACAGTTGACACCCTCAACAGAAAATTGATCGAGCTTGCAAAATACAAAGAAAAAGAAGAATTAGGTAAATGACAAAGGGAGTATTTTTTGTCATAACAGCGAAATTAACCCCATATTTTTTGTCTTCTTCTATTTATTCCTTTTGTCACTTCAACTGACAGATTTTAAAGTATCTTATCACTTGTATATTAGGACCCGTTTATTCATTGCTTTTTTTTTTAAAATTCAAAAATGACTTTATATCTAGGACTCAAATTCGAAACTTCGAAATAATTAAGTACCCACCGGCTACCATTCTATCACGACGTTCGGCGGTATCAAATTAATAATATTGATCGAACAGATGTAACCTACCAATAACATGACGCATATTAATTGATCAATCTACTAGTAGTTATACTGACGACTACAATATCACATCTCACTCGAAGTACAATCTTATTGATGCATGGCCATAATTAATATAATCGTACAGAATATATTGTTTCTTATGTTGTGCATGAGAGAAGATATATCCACTTATGTGAGCCAAAATTATTGCTGATTCTTTTTTTTTTTTTTAAGGGAAAAGTATAGCTGACCAAAAAATGAGAATATATATCATTAGCCATGGTTAATTGATATAAATCTATACGTCAAACACATATATATCTTGCATTGATGTAATTAAATATACTACTAGTAGCGAGGTTAGTTTGAAGATAAATGAAAGACAGAGAAGTGCGATTACAACTATACACAGGTTGTATCTTCACTAAATATTGCTTTAGGGATATCAACCAATTAAGTTGCAGATAAAATGGCCTCATTAAGTCAGGTTAAAGGGATCTTGAACATGAAAAGATGGCGACTGCCTTCATTTCGAGTCAAGAAGAGAAGCGAGAGTGTGTTGGTCTTTGAACCAGCTTCAACTATCAGCTTTATTTATTGTTACTATTTTGGTTTTTGATAGTGGTTTGCAATGTACGTAATTGATCAATTCTCTAACCTGTTTACCAGGTTCTCATCTTGTACAAGAAGTTTAGGTTGTCCCTCCTTCAAACAGTTGTTTGGTTGTCGGGATAAGGGCTAATAATTCGAAATAAAATGCGGGATTATTTTATCTCACTTTTTGGTTGAGTATTAATTAGTTTCAAGAATTATTTTGTACTAAAATTGTAGGATTAGCTATTCCATATAGAAGATGGGATAGCTTATCCCATGAGATATCCCAGCCAATAGAATAAAAGGGCAGTCCGGTGCACTAAGCTCCTGCTATGCGCGGGATCCGGGAAAGGGCCGGACCACATATGTCTATCGTACACAGCCTTACTCTATATTTTTGTAAGATAGACTGTTTTCACGGCTCGAATCCGTAATCTCCCGGTAGCATAGAAGCCAATAGAATATCCTTGTTTATTCCATCCTACCAACCAACCACTCTACTTTTTTCCCTTTCTTCTCGACCAAACAAAAGAACTGCATGAATTCCATTATAGGTGCGTTAGGGCTTTGACTTAGATCCCGTGACCCTTGAAAAGACTAGAGTTGCAGAAACTCTATATGATTTTATCATTGGGTCAATATGATTGGTCAGATGTCAAAACCTTAGAATGCAAATTAGAATATCTTAACCAAAAGTCATAGAGAATCCTTTTAATAAAATAAATTAGAGAAACTACTAGTTATTTCAACCCATAAGTATGTTAGTACGAAAATTAGTCAATTCATAAAATATTACTAATATTAGCCAAATAATATTAATTTTCTGCTTTCTTTTGAGTGTGTATTGTTAGAATAGATTGAATGCATCTTAAAGAGTTTGAATCTAAGTTTTGGGATGATTTGATAGAGTTTTGAGGTAATTTGAATTGAAAATTCGCAGTAGAAGATGAATATGGAAATTAAAAAGATGATATGTGTATACACTATGTATCATTACTATATCACATATGTATCATATTTGTATCAAATGTGTATCATATGTATATCGATGTATATCTCTGTGTGAGATACATGCATGATACATGTGTAATAGAATTATTTTTTAAATTTGATTTTAACTATGAATTTTGATATCAAATAAGTCCAAATCACCTCCAATTTTTCTCAAATTTTGTATATTGACTCATCTATATGTTTTCAATAAATTTCAACCATACCCATTGAAAAAGGTCCCTTTTGCTTAGTTTTTTTGAATCTTGTATATTTTTTTCTTTGTATTTCATCACCGTGTTAGCTACCTCATATATGAAATTTTCTTTCCATTTTGCATCTAATGTTGTCGATCATGCTTAAAAATATGGAAGAAGATCTTTGCGTGTGATTCTTGGACAGAAAAAATCCTTATTTTTCTGAGTTTTTAATTTTCGTATGCGCTTAGCTAGTTTTGATAAGTCTATGATTAATGACTAGAAGTTGATAAGTTTAGACTTATTTTGGATATTTCTATAAAATTCTCAATAAATAATAAGAGGACATAAGTCATTGCGTGCTTGTGGTTGACTCTCTCAACAAAAAATTACCTATTCATTGAGCCTGCAAAATAAAAATAAAAAAAAGGAAAGAAAAAAAAAAAGAATTAGGTAAATGACAAAGGGAGTAGAAGCTTCTTTCCTTCGCATAACAGCAAAAGTATATATCCCACATTTTTTGTCTTCTTCTGTTTATTCCTTTCTCCCTCTACTCTGATTTGTCACTTCCAAAGACAGATTTAGTAGTGTCGTATCACAAGAATATTACTCACGTATTGGAAATTCTCGATATATCCTTAGTCATTGTCACATCTCACTTGAAGTAAAATTAATGCATGGGCCACATGGCCATGATATAATCGTCGCACCGTATATATAATTTTTGGGATAATACATATTTAGCCCCCTGAACTAGTTTGATTTTTTCATATTCACACTTAAACTTTGCATGAATCATATATATGATCCATCTGAACATTTTCGAAATGGAATAAATACATTCTCACAACTAGATATATGTTAATGTGTGAAATACACGTGCTGGCACCTAGATTTTATCACTTAATTATCAACGGGGTTGCTCTAGTGGTGAGCGCCCTTCACTTCCAACCAAGAGGCTGTGAGTTTGAGTCACCCCAAGAGGAAGGTGGGGAGTTCTTGAAGGGGGAGCCGAGGGTCTATCGAAAATAGCGTCTCTAAGGTCTGCGTACACACTATCCTCCCCAGACCCCATTAGTGGGATTATACTGAGTTGTTGTTGTTGTTCTTTCTTTCTTTCTTCACCATCCAACTTCGCCGGAGCTACTAGTGTTGCCGCTTTTTCATCTTAAATGCGCTCGTCTGAAAATGCAAGTTCTACATTCAAGTCCCCTATTTTATAGTTTTATTTTTTTTCTTGACTTGACTATCAATACTTTGACTAAAACCCCACAAAAGAAAAGTTGTCA